CTTTTCATACCAAACCTGCACTTCTGTTAAAATATATTTTCTTAGTCACTTTACCCTAAAACTGTTCTCTGAACTACACTGTTCAAACCTACGTAACCTATCCTCTCCACCCAATGTTACTTAGTTAACGTAACGTTCCTAAACCTAACTTTACCTATCCTAACTTAACTTACCTTACCTTTACCTATCTTACCTAACTTAACCTGCATAACCTAACTTTACCTATCCTAACATAACTTACCTTACCTTACCTATCTTACCTAACTTTACCTATCGTAACATAACTTACCTTACCTTTACCTATCTTACCTAACTTAACCTGCATAACCTAACTTTACCTATCCTAACATAACTTACCTTACCTTACCTATCTTACCTAACTTTACCTATCGTAACATAACTTACCTTACCTTACCTATCATACCTAACTTACCTATCTTAACATAACTTACCTTACCTTACCTATCATACCTAACTTACCTAATCTAACCTAACTTATCCTGCTTAACCTAACTTACCTACATTTACCTAACTTAACCTGCTTAACCTAACTTTACCTATCCTAACTTAACTTACCTAACTTAACCTAACTTATCCTGCTTAACCTAACTTACCTATCCTAACTTAACTTACCTTACCTTACCTATTTTACCTAACTTACCTAACTTAACCTAACTTATCCTGCTTAACCTAACTTACCTACCTTACCTAACTTAACCTGCTTAACCTAACTTACCTACCCTACCTAACTTAACCTGCTTAACCTAACTTACCTTATCTTACCTAACTTAACCTGCTTAACCTAACTTACATAACTTAACCTAACCTAACTTACATAACTTATCTTACCTATCCTACCTAACCTAACTTGCTTTACCTAACTTAATCTTACATTCCCAAACTGATGTATCCTAACTTATGTAGTCCAACCAGACATGATCTAACTTACATAATTATTCCTGCTTGTCTTTTGTGTTTCGTCAATCATTGTCTCATATTCTTTTACTCATTTCAAGGGTTAATTTCTCAAATGGACATTTTGCATTTCAAGTGTTATTTGTTTAAGATTGGGTGTTTAACCATTTCAAAGGATTTTTGTTATATATGGGAATTTACTCGTTTCAAGGGCTAATTTCTCAAATGGTCATTTTTGCAGATCAAGGGTTATTTGTTAAAGTTCATCAAGTTGCTCATAGGTTGTATTTATTATGTTTGTTATCATATGTTCTTATTCCCCAACCCCTTAACCTAACCTCTTGTAATCTTAATGTATTTATTATGTTTGTTATCATATGTTCTTATTCCCCAACCCTTTAACCTAACCTTTCAGATGTAGTTTATTGTGTTTTTGACGTATTTGTTGAATATATTATCCTTTTCATAACCTTTCAGATGTAGTTTTGTTTCTCCTTTGTATATTTTTACCCAAGCAGGAGATGCAGGGGGGAGGGGAAGGCAGTGAAATGATTCAGATATATAGCAATATACTAGTTTCTAAGTAAGAATCCAACTTAAACATATACAGCCTAAATATCTGTTTATTATCAGTAGGAACTCTGAAAAAAATTCTCCCATATGAACTCTTAACAAACTCGTAAGACATTATTTTCATCATAAGAACTTTTAACAAACTCGTATGACATTATTTCATCATAAGAATTTCCTTAATTCCACATCAGTGACTTGAATTTTGCCCATAAGAACTCTTAACAAACTCATATGACATTATTTTCATCATAAGAACTCTTAACAAACTCGTATGACATTATTTCATCATAAGAAATCCTTACTTCTATAATCTGTGACTAGCCAAATTTACCTGAAAAACCCTGGCTCATAAACACGATTTTGAATTTCTCCCATAAGAACTTTTAACAAACTTCTAAAGTCACGGAAATTATTTTCATCATAAGAACTTTTAACAACTTCCAAAATCTGTGACTGACAAAATTTACCTGAAAATCCTGGCTCATAAACACGAATTTGAATTTCTCTCATAAGAACTCTTAACAAACTTCTAAAGTCTCGGAAATTATTTTCATCATAAGAACTTTTAACTTCTAAAATCTGTGACTGACAAAATTTACCTAAAAAACCCTGGCTCACATGCGGGATATTGGAACCTGAAAAACCCTGACTCACACAGAGGATTTTGGAACCTGAAAACCTTGACTCACACAGAGGATTTTTCCCCCCCCCCCAAAAAAAATCCCCTGTGAGGTGTCATCCACACTACTGACAACTGTGAACATCTCACTAGACAACGGTGAACATCACGCGAGACAACGGTGAACATCTCGCTAGACAATGGTGAACACCACACTAGACAACGGTGAACATCTCGCTAGACAACTGTGAACATCACGCGAGACAACTGTGAACATCACGCTAGACAACGGTGAACATCTCGCTAGACAACGGTGAACATCACGCGAGACAACAGTGAACATCTCGCTAGACAACTGTGAACATCACGCGAGACAACTGTGAACATCACGCTAGACAACGGTGAACATCTCGCTAGACAATGGTGAACACCACACTAGACAATGGTGAACATCTCGCTAGACAACTGTGAACATCACGCTAGACAACTGTGAACATCACGCTAGACAACGGTGAACATCTCGCTAGACAATGGTGAACACCACACTAGACAATGGTGAACATCTCGCGAGACAACAGTGAACATCACGCTAGTCAACGGTGAACATCACGCTAGTCAACGGTGAACATCACGCTAGACAACAGTGAACATCTCGCTAGTCAACGGTGAACATCACGCTAGTCAACGGTGAACATCACGCTAGTCAACAGTGAACATCTCGTTAGACAACGGTGAACATCACGCTAGTCAATGGTGAATATCTCGCGAGACAACGGTGAACATCACGCTAGTCAATGGTGAATATCTCGCGAGACAACGGTGAACATCACGTTAGACAACTGAGAACATCTCGCTAGACAACGGTGAACATCTCACGAGACAACGGTGAACATCTCGCTAGACAACGGTAAACATCACGCGAGACAACTGTGAACATCCCGCTAGACAACTGTGAACATCTCGCGAGACAACTCTACTGTTTCTTATGAATAAATCCACAAGGGCCGTGACGAGGGTTCGAACGTACGTCCGAGAGGATCCCAGACGCTGCCTTAATCGACTGAACTACAACATGGTAGCTCAGTGGATTTGGTCATTTGATGCATCACGATATTGTGATTTCTGTCTTTTCCTTATGTTTCAGAGGGCATGGAGCCACCGGTTCCCGCCCAGAGACCGTACTTAGCACACTACATACCCAAACTGCAGTTCCCAACAGTGTAATTGGCTCATCCTAAGTACGGAGGAATCAGACAAATGACCTATGATAGATATTGAACTTGCTAGTGTGTTTCCTTATATGTTATTCCTTAAAGTAGCTTATCTGTGAAGTACATTGATGTATGATGTATGAAATACAATTGATGTACTGTATGCTATTATTTTATTTTTTATTTTTACATGCAAGTATGCAATTGAAATACAATAAATACAATAAAATAACATGAAAACTTAAAGTAGCTTATCTGTGAAGTACATTGATGTATGATGTATGAAGTACAATTGATATACTGTATGTTATTATTATTATTTTTTTACATGAAAGCATGCAAGGGAAATACAATAAAATAACATGAAAACAAAAGGAACAAAACAAGAAGCCACCGGCCAGAAGGACCGACAGCACAGGGCAACAATGAGCAAAATGGAGAAACGCATGAGAAACACAGCATACAACAACGCATGAGAAACACAGCATACAACAACGCATGAGAAATACAGCATACAACAACGCATGAGAAACAGCATACAACAACGCATGAGAAACACAGCATACAACAACGCATGAGAAACACAGCATACAACAACGCATGAGAAACACAGCATACAACAACGCATGAGAAACACAGCATACAACAACGCATGAGAAACACAGCATACAACAACGCATGAGAAACACAGCATACAACAAATAGAAAACAATAACAAACAAGCAAACAATGCAAGCAATAAAACAAAACATAGGAACAATATAAACAACTCAAACAAGCACCGGCCGGAAGGACCGAGAACAACACACATCATAAGGTATAAAAGAAAATACAACACGAGAAAATACACAACACACAACAAGCCATAAAAACAAAGTAAAAATAGAAAAGAAAAAGAAAACACAACACAAGAAGGTAATACATGAATAGAACACACAGGGGAAAGCAATAACACAAAAACAAATAAATAAGAACACACTGCAAAACGCCAGCCCCTCAACAAAGGGAGAGGCACGGGCACAAAATACAGTTGGGGCAAACAAAACGCCAAAGGGGCACACAACACTACAATTAGCAATGAAACACGAAATCAGCGGACATACTTGCCCGGGAACAAGACCCGCGGGAACCACACATGGAACGCCTCCCAACGCAACCACCCCCAAGTGACCCTTACACTCACCGGGGATGCCATTTCATCCTGAACCTTAGCAACAAACACCCTCAAACAGGGGACCCAAATGGTATCACTTCTGACTCGAGTAACCGCCACTGTCCCCTACATCATGGAAATCCACCCACCATGAAATTCCCCTGGCTCGTCATTCAGCAATAACTCAGCAATCGCCGCCCAGTGACCCGGCCGCATCGCAGACGCCGGCAACACGTCCTCCAGGTCCTTAATACACACCCTCACAGGAGGGGCCCGGACTTAGGGCACCACCACAGGGGCACCAGCGGCCATGGGCACACCACCAGATGACTTCAGGGAACCAGGGCGGCGCGCATCCTTCCGTAGTGTCACAACCAGGCCACGCCCAGCACCAGCAACCACACCATCCCTGGGAGTGGAAGCCACCACTCCCTACTACGGAGAGTCCCCAGGCGGAGAAGGAACAGAAGACACCCACGAGACACGGGCACCAGCACCAGCAGGCACATGGACCTCCGCCACCACTAACTGCGGAGACACCGACGCATCCGGTTCCACATCGTCAGCACCCGAAGACCCACAGTCACTGAAGTCCCCAACATCGGCCCAGGTAGAAGACGAACGCCGGGAACGTTTGGGCTCCGGCCGGATATTGTCAGAGCCGGAAGCAGACCCAGAAACCCAGGCACCACCAGCCGGACGAAGGCTCCGCAGCCACCCCAGCACCCAACACAGCCGGGACCTGAGGCAAGGACACGGAGCCAGGCGCAACAGCCGAAGACAAGGGAGAAGACGGCGACGCATCACAGTGATCACCAGGAAGGCCCTCATGAGTAGCGGAGATAGTGACAGGAGCACGGAGACCATCCGATGGCACTTCAAGACCCGGAGGAGGGGTTTGCAACGGCTGGAGGAACATCGGGCGATGCATGGGGAGCCGCATCCGCTAACTGGATGCTCACCTCATCCCTGGAGACCCCCTCCTGAGGGAGCGGCAGGAAATCCTCTTCCCGGAACAAGTTGACCGGAGCAACCGGATCCGCAGTGCAACCAGCAGCCTGATGCCCCAACATGCCACACCGGAAACAAGTACGGGGTTGCCGGGCATAAAACACCAGCACGTAGTACCCTAAAAGGTGGACAGAGGATGGAATGACCGACCTCAGGCGCATCCCGAGTTTACGAATGTTCATCTTCACTCACGTATACTTCCCAGAAGATAGCTTGTGCATCCTCACACTGACGACGGAGCCATACCTCTGGAAGAAACGTCGGAGAAGGGAGGAGGGAAACTCCATGGGGGCTCCATGGACACACGGCTCCACTCCGATCAGAAATGGCCACAGATCCAGAGCCATCCAGCAACTGCAAGGTACGGCCCTCGTACAGCTGGAGAAAGTCACGGTACGCCACCTCTCCCACAAACTTGATGATCACCCGACGAGCAGTCACTAGCTCAACCCTGTAGATCTCCACGACCGGGACATGGAGCACCTCACACATGACCTGTTCCACGAGAGGATACCCTGCACGACAGGTAAACTCCAAACAAAAGGAATATGGCCGCTTATCACAAAAGCGCCACGTCAAAACCAGCCAGGGACAGCAGGGAGGGTAGAGACACCCACACCCCGAGCCGACGAAAATGGCAAACACCCCAAACTACCGGAGGGGCCAGGCGACACGTCCTCACCCCACGGCAGCTCAAGATGGACTCATGTATGTTATTATTGGTATATCTCTGTAATCTATTTACGGCTGTTAAACAAAATACAGTCGTCATAGCTACGTTTAGAGTGGAGAAAATACAGTTCCTTTCAGTATAATTCTGTATAATCTGACTATCGTGGTGAATACTATTATATTAGTGCATGGATCTGCTAGCTGATAGTGATTATTTATGATATAAATTTCAAATTTGTGGTGGCTGAGATTCCTGATATATATTCTATTGATTTTTACATTTCTAATTCAATGAGATATATTTTATAGCACTTGGCATTAATATACATAGCCATGTTGTTGCCTTTGGTGCCAGTGATCAGTTAAAGTTAGCATAATACCTCAGAGAAAATCACCTGAGGGTCAAACTAACCAGTGAAAAATGTGGACTGTTGACAGTTGCAACTCTGGGAATACCTTTTTTTATGGTGTGGAAAATATATTTATAGTTTTTCATTCAATTGGGCTGTAGGAGACTCGATTCGCAGCCCCCCCCCCACCTGTGTGAGACCGAAGCTCTATCAACCGTGATTCGAGTCTCATAGAGCCCAGGTGAATGGAATGTTTATTTCCACGGAAGTGTGGATGAAAATTTTTTAGTTTTATTTATGTTATATTCAGTACTTTTAACTTTGTTCGTTACCTGTGCTCTCTAAGCCACCCATAATGGCATGTACTGTGAGAGCCGTATTAGTGGAGCTGTGTGGTACTCTGTGGACAGAGTGTAGACTGCACAGGGAACTTGGTCAGATGGAACAACGTGTCCACAGAAAGAAGCAAAGGAAGTGATCAGCCTCAGGAGTCTTCATCTTGAAGTGTTACGATAAACCAGAAACTTGCGACGAACTGCACTACAACTTTCGTAAAGACCTCCAAACATTCCTCACACATTTATCTTAGAATGAGTGCTGGAGGGAGGCGGCACTTCGCTGGAAAAGTTAACAATTAAGAGGAGTGCCAAGAAAAAGGTGCGGGACTCATGGGTGTCGGGGACGCCGGCCCATCCGCCTAAATTACTCAGCTTGCAGTAACGATGTGGTCTAAAGTACGTCTATGTTGTGAAAACCGGAAAAATCTTTATACATATGCTGCTAATAAAACCTAACCTAATTTAGCTAAACCGCTCTAGGCCTAATAGAGTACATATATGTGCTATACTAGGCCTAGGAATTTTTTGGGGTTTTTAGTTAAAAAATTTTCCGGACTCCATACAAAAATACAAAAAGTGGCGTACTGAAGCACCTATAGTACATATTGGCACTAACGACCACATAGTTACAATAATGCACCGTCAAAACACGGTTGGATAAACATATTAAATCAACAAGTGAAGTTTTTTGTGTGTTATTGTTCGTCTAAATGAAGCATCATTTTAACACAAATAGATTAGGGGTAATACCCAAAATAATTCCCTGACCCCAGCATTAGCATGGGGCTGGGGAAGCTGTCGTGTTGGAATCTTGTCTGCCCTCAGTGCTCTAGAACCTTACACTGATCTTTAAAAATGTGTGTGTGTGTGTGTGAACTCACCTAGTTGTGTTTGCGGGGGTTGAGCTCTGGCTCTTTGGTCCCGCCTCTCAACTGTCAATCAATTGGTGTACAGATTCCTGAGCCTATCGGGCTCTATCATATCTACACTTGAAACTGTGTATGGAGTCAGCCTCCAACACATCACTTCCTAATGCATTCCATTTGTCAACCACTCTGACACTAAAAAAGTTCTTTCTAATATATCTGTGGCTCATTTGGGCACTCAGTTTCCACCTGTGTCCCCTTGTGCGTGTTCCCCTTGTGTTAAATAGACTGTCTTTATCTACCCTATCAATTCCCTTCAGAATCTTGAATGTGGTGATCATGTTCCCCCTAACTCTTCTGCCTTCCAGCGAAGTGAGGTTTAATTCCCGTAGTCTCTCCTCGTAGCTCATACCTCTTAGCTCGGGTACTAGTCTGGTGGCAAACCTTTGAACCTTTTCCAGTTTAGTCTTATGCTTGACTAGATATGGACTCCATGCTGGTGTGTGTGTGTGTGTGTGTGTGTGTGTTTACTAGTTGTGTTTTTGCGGGGGTTGAGCTTTGCTCTTTCGGCCCGCCTCTCAACTGTTTACTAACTACTTTTTTTTTTTTTTTTTTTCCCCACACCACACACACACACACCCAGGAAGCAGCCCGTGACAGCTGACTAACTCCCAGGTACCTATTTACTACTAGGTAACAGGGGCACTTAGGGTGAAAGAAACTTTGCCCATTTGTTTCTGCCTCGTGTGGGAATCGAACCTGCACCACAGAATTACGAGTCCTGCGTGCTATCCACCAGGCTACGAGGCCCCTGTGTGTACTCACCTATATGTACTCACCTATATGTGCTTGCAGGATCGAGCATTGACTCTTGGATCCCGCCTTTCTAGCTATCGGTTGTTTACAGCAATGACTCCTGTCCCATTTCCCTATCATACCTAGTTTTAAAAGTATGAATAGTATTTGCTTCCACAACCTGTTCCTTAAGTGCATTCCATTTTTCTACTACTCTCACGCTAAAAGAAAACTTCCTAACATCTCTGTGACTCATCTGAGTTTCCAGTTTCCACCCATGTCCCCTCGTTCTGTTATTATTACGTGTGAACATTTCATCTATTTCCACTTTGTCAATTCCCCTGAGTATTTTATATGTCCCTATCATATCTCCTCTCTCCCTTCTTTTCTCTAGTGTCGTAAGGTTCAGTTCCTTCAGCCGCTCTTCATATCCCATCCCTCGTAACTCTGGGACAAGCCTCGTCGCAAACCTCTGAACCTTCTCCAGTTTCTTTATGTGTTTCTTCAGGTGGGGGCTCCATGATGGCGCGGCATACTCTAAGACGGGTCTCACGTAGGCAGTGTAAAGCGCCCTAAAAGCTTCCTCATTTAGGTTTCTGAATGAAGTTCTAATTTTCGCCAGTGTAGAGTACGCTGCTGTCGTTATCCTATTTATATGTGCCTCAGGAGTTAGATTAGGTGTCACATCCACTCCCAGGTCTCTTTCTCGAATCGTTACAGGTAGGCTGTTCCCCTTCATTGTGTACTGTCCCTTTGGTCTCCTGTCACCTGATCCCATTTCCATAACTTTACATTTACTGGTGTTAAACTCCAGTAGCCATTTCCCTGACCATCTCTGCAGCCTGTTTAAGTCCTCTTGGAGGATCCTACAATCCTCGTCTGTCACAACTCTTCTCATTAATTTTGCGTCATCTGCAAACATTGACATGTATGATTCCACTCCTGTAAACATATCATTTACGTAAATTAGAAAGAGGATTGGTCCCAGCACCGATCCTTGAGGTACTCCACTTGTTACTGTTCGCCAGTCCGACTTTTCGCCCCTTACCATTACCCTCTGGCTCCTTCCTGTTAGGTAGTTCTTCACCCATACTAGGGCCTTTCCGCTTACTCCTGCCTGCCTCTCAAGTTTGTATAGCAGTCTCATGTGCGGTACCGTATCAAAGGCCTTTTGGCAGTCAAGAAATATGCAGTCTGCCCAGCCTTCTCTGTCCTGCCTTATCCTTGTTACTTTATCATAGAATTCTAAAAGGTTTGTTAGGCATGATTTCCCTGTCCAGAACCCATGTTGGTGCTTGTTTACAAACCCAATGCTCTCCAGGTGCTCAACAAGTCTTAGCCTAATTATTCTTTCAAGTATTTTGCAGGGGATGCTTGTCAGTGATACGGGTCTGTAGTTAAGTGCCTCCTCCCTATCACCTTTTTTGAAAATCGGTACGACATTTGCCTCCTTCCAGCAACTGGGCAATTCTCCCGACATAAGTGACTCATTAAAGATCATTGCCAGAGGCACGCTGAGAGCCTGCGCTGCCTCTTTAAGTATCCACGGTGATACTTTGTCTGGTCCAACAGCTTTATTTGCATCCAGTGTTGTCAACTGTTTCATTACATCCTCTGCTGTCACCTCTATATCTGATAGTCTTTCATCTTGGGTAATCTCTTCTAACAATGGGAGCTGCTCAGGCTCGGTTGTGAACACTCCATGGAATTTTGCATTCAGTACCTCGCAGATTTCCTTGTCGCTTTCTGTATATGCCCTTTCTGTTTTCCTCAGTCTTGTCACTTGGTCATTTACCGACATCTTCCTTCTTGTGTGTGTGTGTGTGTGTGTGTGTGTGTGTGTGTGTACTCACCTAATTGTACTCACCTAATTGTACTCACCTAATTGTGCTTGCGGGGGTTGAGCTCTGGCTCTTTGGTCCCGCCTCTCAACCGTCAATCAACTGGTGTACAGATTCCTGAGCCTACTGGGCTCTATCATATCTACATTTGAAACTGTGTATGGAGTCAGCCTCCACCACATCACTTCCTAGTGCATTCCATTTACTAACTACTCTGACACTGAAAAAGTTCTTTCTAATGTCTCTGTGGCTCATTTGGGTACTCAGCTTCCACCTGTGTCCCCTTGTTCGCGTCCCTCCAGTGTTGAATAGTTCATCCTTGTTTACCCGGTCGATTCCCCTGAGGATTTTGTAGGTTGTGATCATGTCCCCCCCTTACTCTTCTGTCTTCCAGTGTCGTAAGGTGCATTTCCCGCAGCCTTTCCTCATAACTCATGCCTCTTAGTTCTGGGACTAGTCTAGTAGCATACCTTTGAACTTTTTCCAGCTTCGTCTTGTG